AGCGCGACCTCGAAATCAGAATCCATGGACTCCGGTCGGGGTTCTTCCGCCCTTGTGTCGACGATGTTGGTTTGTCGAGCCACAACGCGGTCCTCCCATGTCGTTCCCCGTGCTTCTCCAACTCCTCTCTGTGTTGGGAACTTGAGTTTCTGGTGGCACGTTGACGGGAGGGCCATGAACTTCGCAAGGAAAGGCCGGCCAAGGATGCCGTTGTGTGCCGATTCACAATTGACGATCGTGAACTCTACTTGTTTGGAGACGTGTGGTTCCTGGTCGCCGATCACCACAGGGAGGGTGATCACTCCAATTACCGGGACTTTGGTTCCGGAGAAACCGACCAGGTTGCCTTGCGCGCGCCTGATTAGGCGCGGGTCGATGTCCATTTTGTTAATGGTGCTCTGGAAGAGGATGTCAGCCGCGCTACCCCCATCTATCAGGAGGCGGTGGGTCTTGCAGGCGGCAATTAGCGCGGTGACAATGAGTGGCTCCTCTGATGGGACTCCTTGTGGGAATTCCGCGTCATCAAAGCTCAGATTGAACTTCGTCGGCGCGTCGACGGCCGCGCACTCCGTCTCGCGCTCGCGCTTGGTTTTCTTCTTGGGACGATCTCCTTCAACCGTCACCACCCCGATTTCTTTGCGCACTACATACGCGCCTGTGTCATCGTCGTAATCGGCTTGTGGTGGTGGTGGCGGCGGGTACTGTGGGGCCTCAACTTGCTCTTTCTTTACGTGAACGAATTCGGTTAGCAACCCCCGCCGTACGAGGCCCTCTATTTCGTACCTTAGCTCTCGGCAGTCTTCCGTCTGGTGCCCCGTTGCTCTGTGGAACTCACAATGCCTATTTGGATTGCGCATGTAGGGTTGGGATTTCAACGGGGCAGGCCAATTGAGCTTGTAGCCTTTCTCGCGGAGGACGTGGAACACGTTCCTCACGGAGTCATTAAGGGGAGTGTAGGCGTTGGGCGCGCGCCTGTCTGGCGATCGCCCGCGCTGCGCCTGTCTGGCGATCGCCCGCGCTGCGCCTGCTCTGGTGGGGGGGGGGGAGGGATGCGCTTTGGGCCACTGTGCATCTGCAGCAATTGATCTCGTGGGATTGGGGCTGGAGGCTGACGACGCGCCTGTTCTTCTCGCGGCATTTTTGCTGGTTCGAAGCGCCTGACGGATCCTGCCCCCAGGGTTTCTTCCAACGTGATTGCCTTTTCGATCTTCATCTCCAACTCTGTGGACAGCGTGACGGGCCTTTTTGCTAACGCCCGTTTGAGCTCCATATTGTTGGTGGCCTCCATGAGATGATGGGCGGCTGTTTCGGGGGTAAGGTCGCGGACAGCCATTGCTACCCTGGACCATCTGGCGTAGAAAGCTCTCAGGCTTTCTCCATCTTTTTGCCTGATATCTATCAGGGCTTTGAGGTGAAGAGGGCGCCGTTTCTGGGACGCGAACTTTGTTGTGAACAGAAGTATGAACTCCTCGAATGAGCGGATGATTCCGTTCGGGAGGCGGTTGTACCAGTCGAGGCATATACCGGTGAACGTCGATGGGAAGGTTCTGCACAGCGCGGCGTTGGAGTTGGTCTGGAGTTGCATGCGCAAGCAGAAGGTGCTTACATGGTCTTCCGGGTCGGTCGTGCCGTTGTATGTTGGGAGGGTGGGTGGCGCTCCGGTTAGGTTCTCCGCCATTATTTGCGCGCTCAATGGCTGGTGGAGGACCCTTTTAGGCGAGTTGGGTCGGTATTGCGGAGACAGGTGTTGCTCTAAGAAGCTGAGGTCCGCCCGCCCTGGTAGTTCGATTCCCGGCGCTTCGCATGCGGGGAGTTCTTTTGGCGTGTGTTGGGGTAGCTGGGCTGTCCCCGACGTTTCTCCCAAGGCTTGTTGAGGAGCAACCGCCAAGGCTTGTTGAGGCGCAGCCGCTGTCGCGTCTATCGTTGGCGCGCCCTCCCTGCTCATCATGAGCGCGATGACTTGGCTCATTTGTTTCTGCATGTCGGCTATGACGTTGTTTTGCTTTGTCAACAGCTCCCTCATTTCACTGGCTGTCAGCTCGGGCTCCTCTTCTTCGATGAGCACAGCGTTGAGGTTGCTGGCTTCCGCAAAAGCCCTCGGGTCAGTCATTGCCTTGATCGGCGTGGCTTGGTCAGGTTGGTCGTGGTTGTGCTCTGCCATTGGTGGATTTTCTTTAGCGTTTCTTCTTGGCCCCACGGTGGGCGCCAATTGTTTGAACCTAACTGAGTGTAGGAGTGAGGTTCGAGTGAGTTTGGGTCAAGAAGAAACACGAGCGTCGGGTTTGATCGGAGGGATAAGAATTAGAGGGTGGAGCGAGAGTGAGAATCAGAACTTTAGAAAGAGAAGTAGTTGCAATAGAGTGAGAATGGCGAAAAATGCGATCCCCTCACCCACCGTAGTAAATGCCATATTTATAGGCTTCATGGTGGTGGGTGAGTGGTTGACTCAAGAGGGGATACAATGATGTGACTACTGGGATACACTGATGTGACTTCTGGCATACTAAGGATTTTAGGCCATCCCTCTACCCGGGACATGTCAGAGACCTGTCCATGGCCATGATGTGACTACCTGCTGGGGGGGAAAGCTTCGCTTCTCTCATCCTCTGATTTGGCCTACGCTTGTCCTCTCTTAGCACATGTAATTCATTCCGCGCTTAAGCTCTTTGCGCCAAGACGTGGTTAGCTATGATGAGGCGGCGCGCTCGGGGTCCTCGTCGGGGTTTATTTAGTTGCGCCCGGTCCCTTGGCGTGGTTAGGCCCGAGTCCCATGCCCAACAGTTCCTATTATTGAACCTCTGTTTAGTAATCTGCAATCTTTTCTCATACTATAGATAGTTTTTTCGTTATGCATTGTTTTCTTTTCTTAAGTTTGGTTCATCATTGCCAAGTTTATCGCATATAAGTTGTGTTTGAATGTAACGCTGTTTGTTATGAATGGAAAGCTGCTGAGAAAGTTTGCTGCATTTTTTCTATAATTTGATTGTTGTTGTTTTTATTTGACTTTCTTGCATGTTGTTATGTCGTCTTTATTAGAGAAATTTAAGAATTGGACTTTAGGATTATTTTTAACCGAGTATTTATTGGTTATTATTATATGCTTCATCATATTCATATTAAAAACTCAAATGGATGCTTTTATTAGCTGATAGTGATAGTGTTGTTATAAAGATGCTATTAGAATTTGTTGTTTTCCACGAAATAGAATCTCTTAAGCTACAAATTTGGCTAATCATAACCATAAGCTACAGGTTTTGTAGGACCCCGGCCAACAGGCCGGGCCCAATGCTAGTTTTATTCAACTACAATGGATATAATAATTTCGATTCCCCCAGACGACAAAACCCTGGCTTCACCCTGGGAGGCTAGGCTAGGTTAATTTTCCACTATAATGTGTTAGTTTACATCAGTTAGTGGCAGTGTTCTAATCACTAAAAGTTCTCGAAAGCATATATAGTTGTTTCCCTGCAAAATCAAATATTCACTGCCGGCGTGCCCAACGACGGTGTTGATTTGATTGAATTGATGTGTCACTGACTTCTAACCAAATACCACTGCCGGCGTGTCAAATGACGGAGTTGATTTGATTGAATTGATGCGCCACTGACTTCTAACCAAGACAACCGTTACTATGTTTTGCACCTCTCCAAAATACATTCGAACGAGGGTGTTTGAGTTTTAGGGGAATCTAATTTAAAACTACTCCTATGGAGATTCCTATGGAGAGCTCCACGAATATGCTACGACTACGACTATGGAGATCATTCCTGGAAGGAGAGCTCCACGAAGGAGTTACAGAGAAAAGATAAATTTGACAGAGTTGTTTTCTGTGTTGATTTGGTTGTCTCCCCTCTCTCCTTGCATGGTTGGTTTTATCAAATATCTTCGTAGTCATCACGTCAACCTCTCCATGCAACTACCTCCTCAACTGCCCCGTCGTCCAGGAGAACTCCCACGTGTCTCAACCGCCTCGATTTTGATTCTGCGTGAAACTCACGTGGAATGAAGTTACAATGACGATGTTGCTTTGGGAACAGTGGTGTTGGACTTAGCGGGCCACCCTTGACCGTGCTCTTAACCACTGCTATATCGTTTTTTGCCGGCCAATGGCGAAAAACGGAATGAATTTTAATCAAACCAACACCTATCAACCCCGTCTGATTCCAAAAAATAAAGACGAATTTTAATGACCCCCACACTTTATAGTTGGGTCAAACACGTTGGAAGATTTAGTTTGGATGACATTTGGTTTTCTCAATCCAATATATACCTACTAGAAAATTCACCTATTAATTCATGACTCATGACTCAGACCATGATTCGATTACGGGTTGAACATATTTTTATCAGTGTTCAAGAAGACGCGATTGATCTCTTGCTTAGGCGCGATTTGCTGGGCAGGAGAAAATCGTCCCGCCTAGCCCTGGGCGATTGATCTAGGCACCTAGGCACTCGGAGGCGCGTTTTCACTCTGGTGGGCGACGCCCAGAACAACTAATAAAGGGGAAAAGTGTAGCCTTTTTGTGAAAATCCTAAACCCTATTCTATTTCTCATTTATATTCAACCAGCCGCTCCCCCTCATCGACCAGCAGTGAGTCCCTCCTCATGGTTGGCGACTTGGGATGTTTGGGATTGTGGAAATGGGTTGTATGTGAATATGAATGGATGAATAATGATATGGCGACTTGGGTTCTTGTGGAATATGACTTATCTATCATTTTTTTTTTCAACGTTTAATCTCGCCTAGGCAACGATTAATCGGCCTGAGCGTTGGGCGGTGCCTTCTCGCCTAGATAGCGCCTAGCGTCTTCTTGAACATTGATTTAAAAAAAAAAAAAAAAGGATTATGGGTTGAACATAAATTCAAAAGTCGGATGTTACTCGAGGAAATTATAAATTATTGTATGCCACTTTTGACATTTTATTTCTCCAACATTACATATTACTGGTACAAACTAATTACGCATAATTAGTAATCCTAAAAAAAAACATAGATTGATCAACCGTTGATTTTCCGGCAGTTGGCACGCACCTCGCCGTCCGTCCCTGTGATCACCCCAAGGCTCCCCATTTTCACCATAGCGGCTGCGAAATCCGCGAGGAAAGCGCGTGGACGCTTGGCGTAATCAACCACGTGCGCGTCGGTCGACGCGCCGCCGAACAACTGCTGGTCAGAGTGCAGGAGGCCCTGGTTGGCGATCAGGTTGGTAAAGTAAGCGTTGTCGAAGAAGGCAGGGGAGGCGGCGTCGAGCGGAGAGAGGGAGGTGTCGTTGCTGCCGGCCAACGGCGGGCAGCCGGATTTGAGCGAGTCGGCGAAGGAGGCGTCGATGTTGTCGGAAGAGGAGGAGGCGTTGTTTTGGTGGATCCGGTCTCGGAAGACGCGACACGTGGCGTGGCCGATGGTGTGGGCCCCGGAGAGGGCGACCATTTGTTTGGAAGTGAAGCCCTTGTCGGAGAAGGAAGAGATGAGCGCCGGAAGGTCCATGAACGGTGACGGGAGGTCGGTGTTGGCGGCGGCATAGTCCGCCGTCGTTGAATCTTTTCTTCCTAGTTGGACCGCCCACGTTGGACCTCCCAACTGCAGAGAGTCAAAGAAGTCCAAGGAATTGAAAACCACACTATCAACAATTTATTTTACGTAAATACCGAATCTTTCAAACTTTTCAAATTATTAGTAAAATTTTTCAAAATACAAAATATTCGCCGAATTTTCGGTACGATATTAGAATATTAGTTATTTATCCGTTTATCATTAGAGCTAGCAAATTGATTAGATTCATGAATTGGTAGATTCATGTATTGTATCAAGTGGATTGGTGGTCCATTAATCCAAATGATATCCTCAAGTCAATCTTAGACCAATATGTAAAATGTGAAAATGTTAGGTACTAAAATGTCATGATAAAAAATTTTAAGTATCAAAATATAATTTTCCAATTATATATTTCGTATATAAAAATTAAATTTTAGGTATCAAAATGAAAAAAAATAAAAATTATAGGTACTATGAACCAATTCAATTGTATTTGGATCAAATGGATTTGAGTTAAATAGATTGGATTAGTTGGATATTTTTAATGGATTGGTGGATTGGATTGAGAATTGTCACCTCTAATTATCGTTAGTAATTTTGTAACTTTTTTCCTAATTATATTACTACAAAAAAATTACTAAAAATTTTAAATGTCGACCAGCATGCGTATCCATTCCAAGACATTATCATATTTTCAGGTCAATATTGCTAGCAAAACTACTAAGGAAAAGTTAACATTTGAGTTGGAAAATAGTACTCACTGCAACAACAGAATCTCTGGCGGCAACAGCGAGGATATCAGCACAAGAGACAACTCCAGGACAAAGCGACTCCACCTGCGACTTAACCGCATCAATCACTTCAAACCCTCTAAGAGAATTATCATTAGGTCCCGCCGTCTTCTCCCCTCTGAAACTCGGCGTGTCGTCCAGCAAAACAGACCCGTCACATCCCTAACCACACACAAACAATGAAAAATCGAGCAGGTAAATCAACTTTCTCGCGACTCAGTACAAATACTAACCAAGAGATCGATCGTGGCTAGCCAGCTTGTAATTAAGTAAGTAAGTAAGTAAAAACTTGCGGTGACAAAGCAGTCGTGGAAGTGCATCCGCAGCAGAGAGGCTCCCATTCGCCGGTCTTTACGGACGGCGGCGAGGACTGAACCTCGGATCGCGGCCAGAGCCCTAGGGCAGGTTAGGTCGTAGTAGTTGGACGCCAGCTCCTGTCCATTTGTTGCTGCACACAATCCTCGAAGCGCGACTGTTAGTATTACACAGTAAAACAATGGCACGTACGACGTCGTCGGATTGGATTCCATCTTCGTTAGAGCACTGGTTATATATGGATTTTGCGGGAAGTTTGAAGGTGTTGGAGAAGTGCAAGCTAATTAAGTAGTCGTCCTATATATAGAGTTACTGGGTGTTAGCTAGATAGAACAGCAGGATCAATCTCCAATTGAGGTCAAAGGTTAGGAATTTTCTCAGTGTAGAGGGTGGAAAGAAGCTAACGTACGCATGCAGGTGCGTTTTTCAGTGTTAAGAGTTGTGGAGATCCCACTTTCTCCTACTAGGCTAGTATAATCTACTGTTCTATTTTTTTCATGGGAGAAGTAACAGAAACTTCTAGTTTATGAAACTTTCTGTAGTTATGGAGGATTCAGGCCAGGGAGTACTTGATGCTTGCTAGCTAGTTGTGAGCATGATCCGATCGAAGATTTATATATGCAAAATGTATGTGTTGCATCCGCTGTGTAAAAACACATGCATGTTAACTCATATTAACATAATAATAATAATGTGGCGCATCTATATGTATATTTGTCGAATTTGTGGATATTTACATCCAGCAGCGATGGTCGACTGCTCTTCACTCTCTCTTTCTCAGCCGTTTTTGTGCACCAAACCCTAGATCCAACGGTTAGTCTGTACCCTCTGATTTATGCTTCTTCAGACTCCAGTGTTATTTTGTGTGATATTGCTACACATCGTACATACTCACTGAAAATTTTCTTATCTAATGTTTTTTTTTTTTAATTTGTTCTTAATACGAGAATATGTTGTGGTTATAGATGCACCAAATACTTTCGGTGATAAAGAATTTATTATTTTTTCAATAATCCCCCCTCCACGAAGGTTAAAGTCAATATATAGTCCCAATTCCTCGACCCAAAGCTCTAATCGATACAATTATCTGACTCGTCTATGAAATTATTTATATCTTCAATATATAATAACAAATAAGACACTTATAAAAAAAATAAGACATATGTGAATTTACATTAAAATTATTTATGATTTTATTCGTGTATAATTTGGTATTACTTAGGTTTGGTAGCCTATTTTCCCTGCAAGACTTTTGAAAAAAAAAATATCACTATTTCAAAAAATCATAATCATACCATAAAATAGTAAAATACCTTATTGTAAATAAATTTGATATATGACTTCTATATGATTTCGCAAACAATAGATTAGACATATGAGATTAGGCAGGACTTGCTGGTGACATGTCTATTTCGGGTAATGATCAACTATCATAAACTTGGAGATTCCCGGAAATGTCCGGCAAATGCGAAAAATCAACCGTTAATACATAATCAAAGGCGCTAAAAGTAGGATTCCATGGTGAATCGATGGTGGTGGTGGGTAGAGTGTGAATGAGCACAAGATCCCATTGCGATCCGTATTTCAAAGTTGACGATTCTAACAACATCCATTTGCTGCTAATTTCATAATTAATTATCATATATTCACTCATAAAAGTCTACATTCTTGATTGATTGGGGAATTGCTTTTGTTTTGTGCGACACCCCCGAACTTTGGAATCTTCGGTCTACCTGTACCACTACATAAGTGATAAGAGAAGTGGGAAACCCTTGGAACAAAATAGCAAGTCGTTGCGTAAGTGGCGGACCCATTCTTTATCATAGCGAAGGTTTTGGTATAAATTGAGTTCTGAAAAACACTAGATATATGAGTAGGGGTATACAACGGATTGGTTCGATTTGGTTCCGACCAAATTAATGGGAATCACGGTCCATTGATGAAAGACACATTAGGACTAAGGACCGGACCATCCTTGTATTCGGTCCATTTGATCCAGTTCAGTTCGATCCAAATATGAGCTCGCTCCACCATTTCTTCAGTAATTATAAAATTCATAAGAAACAAGGATCGGACCGCATTATACTCGGTCTAGTCCGGTCCGGTCTATATATGAGGGTTTTGGGTCATTATGGATCTAAAAAATACCATTGTTTTGTCATGGATTTCATGATGAATTTTGTTAATTAAATTTGTATATATGAAGTGAAATTTACATTTATGGGCTCAATGATATAAGAAGAGAAAGAAAATATAAGGGTAGATTGGTAAAAAATGTTAGACGTCAAAGTCCATGATTAAGTCCATCACAATCTGGATAGGCTTGTAGAAATCCTTGCATGCGATTGGAATTCCTGCCCTTGGAGTACCTTGGGCTCCCCTCGGAGCCTCCCCCTCTTCCTTCTCAATCTAGAATAAGACTATCTGCAAGATTTCGAGGAGGTTAGAAGGCTTTTTGCCTTCATGCGACAATGGCGAGGACGGTTTCCGTTATCATGCCCCGCGAGTTCCGACCCATCCTCGGCAAAGTCAGGATAAAAGGTGCTCCTTATTCCTTCCGATTGCTCCTATGCTATTTTGCTTTCTTGCACGGTCCCTCCTCCCTCGACAAAAGGTTTCGCTTGCAAATCTCCTCACCAGTTACCAAGGCGGCCGTTCAATTCAACGACGAGGATGTGGCTATTGGTGCATAGAGAATTGACCAGACTCTGATTGGCCGACTTTGTGGTCCGCTCCCGTCTCTGTCGAAGCTGCGATCGATTGTTGGGAGGGTCTGGTAATGTGATTTCTCGCTGGTGGTTGTGGAATGGGATCTCCTTCAATTCGTTCTCCCTAACACATAAACTGCCCATCGAATTCTCTCAGGGACAACATGGGTGTTTGAGAAGTTCCTCATTCAAGTCAGGAAGTGGGAAACCCTAATGGCCGAGTTTGCGTCGGAACTCGTCCACATTCCTCTTGTGGTGCAAATATGGGGAGTTCCTTATTACTGCTGCACTGAGAGGCTTGGCTCCTTGCTTAGGGAAGCCCTAGGATCGACGGAAGCCGCCACCATTCACTGTTCCGTTTCCTCCGGTGGCCTGTACATCAGGTCGAAAATCACCCTGGATCTTCAACTTCCTCTCCCGGATGAGGTCTCTGCTGCCCATGAGGACCCCTCTAAGAGACATTTCAAATCCAAGGTGAAGTTTGAATCTCTCCCTCAATTCTGCTTTCTTTGTGGAGTGGTTGGCCATGTGAGCAAGATTTGCTCGCGGAAGGAAGAACTATCTGGGCAGGCTCCAAGATATGGCAAAGATTTGGTGGCTAGGGAATTTGGTCCACAGGTGAACGAAGATACGTTGGCTCGACGTTGCAAGCGGTTTGTGTGGACGCTGGCGGGGAATCGGGCTGGGGCTCACATGGCGACTGCTCCCCGCAATAGGCGATCAAATCCGGTCGCTGGTCACGGTGGGAGTCAGCAGACCTCCCCGCTCCAACTAGGAATGACTTCTCATTTGGGACAGAATCTTGACTCCTCTGGCTGAGCAGACAAACGCTTCTTTGGAGCCCTTCCAGCATCATGACACGGTGATGATCGACCAGACTGAACCGTGCAAGCGGTTTGTGTGGACGCTGGCGGGGAATCGGGCTGGGGCTCAGATGGCGGCTGCTCCCCACAACAGGCGATCAAATCCGGTCGCTGGTCATGGTGGGAGTCAGCAAACCTCCCCGCTCCAACTAGGAATGACTTCTCATTCTGTCCTCAAGGAGACTCTCATTAGGGAATCTCCTTTTCTAGTATGCTTGAGTGAAACTAGGAAGGATGATGAATTCGTGGTTCAATAGCTAGGTTATCTAGGCTTCCCAGAGGAGCGTGTACATAGTTCATCTAGTAATGGCAGTGGATTAGCTATTGCCTGGTCGTCCAGTCTACTAGTGTCTGGCTTTATGTTTTTAGAATGCGAACACCCTTCCCCTGGGCTATTTTCTGTAGTCTTTGTTCATTTGCACTGTGATGTAGCCATCAGTATCAACTTAATGAAATTTCGTTCCTTATTTCGTCGTACGAGGACCCTGTGTTTGTTTTGGGTGACTTTAATTCTCTTCTTGCCAGCTTTGAGAAACAGGGAGGACGCCCTCCTACCACTGCTACGCTCTCCCAGCTCAATCAATTTTTGGATGCAGGGGGGCTTCAAGACTTAGGTTATATTGGCCCTCCATTTATAAGGTCCAATCGGCAATCCATTGGTGATCATATCCAATCCCGATTAGATCGATGTTTGGGTAATAACCTTGTGTTCTCATTGTGGTCAGAATTATAGGTTCACCATCTTTCCGACAGGGGGTCAGATCATCAAATGTTGCTACTGAAATTTGTGCAGTCTGGTGACCGCCGAGCTAGAAGGTTCCAGTATGATCGCCGGTGAACTTCAATGCCGACGTTCCCGCACTGTTACCATCGGCGTGGCATCAACCGGATGGAGGAACTCCTCTCTTCAAGATCCAAACGAAGCTGAAACGTACCTGTCATGAGCTGCTGGGTTGGGACAAGGCAAGTATGACTAATTATGCCCGTCAAATCCGAGAGATTAGGGGAGTTGTCGACATTGCCAGGGAAGCTGTAGCAATTGATTGGGCTACTATCAGTCAACTGGAAAACCAGCTCGCGGAGGCCTACTGACAAGAGGAACTATACTGGAAGCAGAAGTCGAGGGTCCATTGGCTACATGGTGGTAATGCGAATACTCACTTTTTCCACTTAACCACAATGCAACAACGAAGGACAAACTTCATTCCCAGTTTACGAGATGAACATGGTGAATTGCACTCTGCAGAGCCAGTGAAAGGGGGAATCTCAGTATCCTATGTTGAGTATTTATTTACTTCTAATGGTTTGGATCCCTCAGCTTTTGTTAATAGTTTGAATCTTCCCATCAAAGTAACAACTTCTATGAATGACAAGCTTACTACGCAGGTCTCCCGCTGGGAAATCCAGCAAGCCATCTTTGCTATTGGGCAAAGCCAATCTCCTGGTTCAGATGGGTTCACTACTGGTTTTTATCAAAGGTTCTGGATGAGATATGGGCGGATGTCTCTAAAGCCATTTTATCCTTCTTTCAAACAGGACGGCTGCTACATAGTGTTAACCACACTCTGCTTACACTCATCCCCAAGGTAGCCAATGTTGATTCCATGAGACAAATGCGCCCTATTGGTCTCTGCTAGGTTCTAT